TTTTTTTTTTTTTTTTTTTTTTTTTTTTTTTTATTGCTATCAGGAGAAAAGCAAAATTCACACTGCCCCGCAACTAATATCTAGTAATAATAATACACTTAGCACACCAATCGCAATAGGTTTTAAATGTAATCAAATTGCCAAAGGCAAAAAGCTTTGCTGCATGATAACGCTAAATTTACGTATGTAAAACAAAACTAATTCCTATAGCTAAGCATTTGCAGAAGGATAGAAAAAACAAAAAAAAAAAATAACACCACCACCATCACCAACACCGGCAACCAACAAGAGCGAAAGACGAGAGGGGAGAAAACCCTGGGCAAATAGAGCGTGTGTCAGCATAGTATAAAATCAATGAAAGCGTAGGAAAAACGAATTTTGTTTAATTACAAAGCCAATCTCACATATGCATATTGATCTATGCCACTTTTCTGAACGGCCACTGAGCTCATATAACTTACCCGTTATATGAAAAACGCGTTTTCACCGCAAGCGGTATGCAAAAAAGAAAAAAAAACGCTAAGATCTTGACCACTTCAGAAAGAAAGAACCCCAGAAAAGAAAATGCCATTATTAAATGATGGAAAAGGCTTCTTCTTTTTTGCACATGCTAACCTTGATACTACGTATTTCTCATTCACACTTTCTACCACTTCTATATCCACCTTCATCTTCTTCCCTTATTCGCTTTCCTTTTTAAACAGCAAAACTACATTTCTTCTTTTCTTCTCCTCCTCCTTCCTCAGTAATTCCTTTGGCTGTTCTTTCGTTCGTTTGCTATTTTCATTCCTTCCTTCTCCCATTTCTTCTTAGTTTTCAACTAAATATTCAAACTAACTAACTATACTGTTAAGATGCTGCTGTTGCCTAAAAAATAAACGTTTGCCTCTATTAATCAACCACCAACTCTTCTTTATACCTAGACGTATTGGAGCCAAAAGACCCTTCCTACCTCTCCGGTTCTGGAGGTAAACGAATTGGAAGAACATAACCAAAATAATTTCATACGTATGATATTTTACAGTTGTTCTGCCATGCAAAGAACAAGTGAATAAACTACCGGCACTTTGCTAGTTCTGAAAATGAAAGTCTCTTTGGCCAGTTCTACAAACTTGTCCTTCTCTACTTCCTAACTTTCAGAATATTTTACCTTTCCTAAAAAAATTAAAGAAAAAGAAAAAGAAAAAATTCTTTTAACAGAGCAAGAAGAACGAGACAAAGAAGGGGTTTTTCAGAGGAAAAAACCAAAATAAACCTTTGTCTATAAATACTTGGCTTTAATTAGAAGTGACAATAAAATAGGGATAAAGCAAAAATAAAGTAAAATCACATATATTACAGGATGAAAAAACTTACCGTTCAAGTGCTGTCACTTTACGCGAATTTCGCGATGACGTTGGGAAACAGCCTTGCATATACTTATATCAGTCTATACATAAATATATGTATGTATATATACTTATATTTATATTTATATTTATGCTTACATACACTTATGCATATATCTATCTATACAGTTCTTTTATCCTTGATATTCCTATTAAGACTGTCCTTTGTTTTCACTTCTTCTCATTCTGAAATGCAGCAACATATTGATACTGATGAAAGGTGGACTCTTGTTTTGCACGATCTATGTACACTTACACGACTCTATTCATAGAAAAAAAAAAAGAAAAAAACAACAGAAAATATCCGGACAAAAAAGGGCAAAAATGTAATCCAAAAAAAAGAACCGAATAATAAGACCAAAAAGTGTTTTAAAAAAATTCACGTGCTTTCAACACTGATAAATTTTGAAAAAAATAGAAAATTGACATTATAAAGAAGAAAAAAAAAACAAAAATTATTTTTGCTTTTATCGTTATAATCCAAAAAAACGGAAATTCAAAGCGAAAATTGAAAGAATCTTTCCGTTTCCTTCTTCACTACCACTACCAACATCAGCAGTGGTAGCAACAGCAGTACTTAAAAAAAGTAGGTTTTATAAACCTTTTTCAGTTCTATTATACCGGCTTCAAATACTTGCCCAAGACACCCGTTTCTCACTCAAAAAATATCTAAAGCTAAACTGCACCGAAGAGCACTTTTGTGGCACCGTAAATCGGTAGCCGGAGAAAGTGGATAATTCAAAAAATTTTATGCCTTAATCAAGCCAACATTATAAACTAAAAAAAATCAAAGCAATCAATTAACCAACCAAGCAAATAAAAAGTAGGCAAAGT